AGGCATGTTGCACACGCTTGCAGCCACGCCGCAATGGATAGTTGTGCAACGAGGTCCTCCAGTAAGTCAACGGGAGTCTCGTAAATGATGCTCTTCAGATGGCCCCATAAAAAAAAATCCAAGCTGGATAAATCTGGAGAACAGGGTGGCCATCGAACAGCTAATCCATTGGCCGCCTAGAAATGTCCCATCCAAGTAATTGTGGACCCGCACGTGGTTATGGGCTGGTGCACCATCATGCTGGAGCCACATGCGATCACGAACGACAGCCGGAACATACTGCAGCAATTCCAGTAGCACCTCTTGCAGAGAAAATATGATAACATAAGCCATTTGTACGTGCAGGTAAGAGGTATGGGCCTATGAGGTAGTCGTTAACAATGCCCGCTTACACATTCACAGAGAAGCAGGTTTGGAATGCATGTGGACTTGTGCCGTGTGGATTATGAGTTGCCCACATGTGCATGTTGTGGCTATTGAAGATGCTGTCCTGTGAGAAAGTTGCTTCATCCGTAAATAGCAGATCCGATATGAAATCCATCTGCGCCCCACACTGCTGCAAGCACCAATGACAGAAATGAACTCGAAGAGGGTAATCTGTCTCTTGCAAGACTTGGACTCTGCAAATGGTATGGGTGCATACCATTTTCATGCAATACTCTCCAAACGGTGAAATGACTCAGTTGTAGATGATGTGCAATAGCTCTTATACTTGTCTAAGGTGATTCATGCACAATGTTCAAGATGGATTCTTCAATGTGAGGTTGTTGTGCACTTCTTCCACTCCTAGTGTCAGAGGCCCATTTTCACACAGAGATCGATGCAACCTCTCGAACATTGTGTGCTTCGGCATACGCCCGTTCGGAAACCATTCCTGGTACAACATAGCGGTGCTGTGCCGTTTTCATTAGCAGCACCATACATGAGATGCGTGTCAGCTTTTTCCCTGTGTGTAAACTTACCCATTACGCTCGACATCAGAGTTGCGAATGATCCTCTGATGCATCGGATCATAGTTTGTTCGGCTCACTATAGCCCTCTACCGCTGCATTGCCAGCCAATCACAGCTGTAATTCCTATTACTGTTAGTTTTCTCTTTTTGAACATTTATTGTGAATACTGTATTGCTGCAAAAAAGTACTTTGCGTTGATTTTGTACATAAACACATTTCCCTCTCGTGTCGTTTTTTTACGTTCCTGCCGTAACCCGTCACTTTAGACCCTACATTCCTATAAAAAAATGCATGTTTTAGTACTCTACACCACCCCTCCAAGTTTATCCCATGCTCTATAAAACACCTACACAAATCTGTAACACTATCTCTTCGCTTAGAATCAATTGTAGTCTTGCAAAATAAACCTCCCTTTTTTAAATAAATTTTCTGTCTACACTATTTTTTTGACAGACATGTGGCCAGCAGATCTTTCTTAATTTATTGATGTGGCCCTCAGGAGTGAAAGGTTGAAGACCTAAATACTGACACTGCAATAAAGAACATCAATGCTCTTAACAAAATATTTACAATCATTAAATCAAAATTTTACAACATTAAATGTTTACATAATCTTGATAATGTGCTAGAAAAGCAATTCTTCTCTCATTACATGCTGTTTTAAATTTTGAATCCTCTCTCCCTTTTCATGTCCGTTTAATAGGGTGTTTTGTGTCTCTTTATTTGTTAGGTTTCGAAAGTCATCTTCATCTGAAGCTAAAAATAAGCTTGTTTTAATAGACTGGCAGAAACATAGGTGTCCTTTCTTTTAATTTTTACTGTATAATACTTGACATTTCTAGTAATCATAGAAAAAGGTCCTTCATAAGGGGATTTTAATGTTTTCTTGACACAGTCCACTCTGACAAATACATGTGAACATGAATCTAAATCCTTATGGACAAATAATTTATGTTTTCTTATACATTGTCTTTTTAATTTGTTTTAATTTTTCTATTTCTTTTTTGCAGTTTGCTAATGAAGGTATCTGGTTCTAATTTGGTTTGTGGTTCTTAAAAGAATCCTCCTCATAACTTCAGTGATTTACAATAAACTATTTTTACAGTGGAGCAGTTGGTATCATCATGTAGAGATGCATGTATACTAAAGAGTATAGTTAGTAAAGTTTCATTCCATTTGACTGAATTGTTGCTGGCTGCTTTAATGTTCTGTATTGTCTTTATATTTTTCTGTTGCATTGTGGATGGTATGAAGCTGTTGTTTGCATTTTAATTAAATAATTAATACCTAAACTTCTGAAATGTTCTGATCTGAACTAATTTCCTCTGTCTATGATCACACTGTATGGAATGCCAAAGCGACAAATCTAACCTGCATAAAATGCTTTTCTGTGGTAATATTTTCTATCAGTATAACTTCCATCCAGCAAATAAAGCAATCGGTGCATGTTAAGCAATACTTATTCCCATTTGATGGAGGGTAGGGTCCAATTATATCCATACAGACAATGCTAAGTCTTTCAACAGGTTTTTCAAATGAGTTGAATTTGGAACATGTGTGCCAAATAATTTTATTTTTCTGGCAACTAATGCATTCTTAACTAATGCATTCTTCTCTAATGCATAATTCTCTAACATCTCTAACATTTAGTCCATTCTCTAACATCTTTTTTATTTAATAATCTTCCAAATGAACTTTGACATTAGTTGTTTCAGTAATGTTTTGATACCAGGATGGCTTAAGTCATGTATTTTGTGGAAAACATTCGTTCCAAATGGTTGTGATACGAACAGTTGAATATGTGGAGTTGGAACATCTCCCCAGATTATTTTTCCAGAGAGTAATGGGCATTGTTTGAAAATTTTTGCTACTATTTAACTATTCTTTCAGTTCTTCACTATTGATTTGTTCACCCAGAATTTTATCATAATTGATGCCCGAAACTGATTCAATTCTAGATATCTAATCTGCAATAATATTTACTTTCTCAGGTATGTATTTTATATTCGTTGAAAACAGAGAAATGTACAGGAGCTGTCTAAATTGTCTTAATGATGTTTTATCATTTTTCTGTTTAAATGCAAATATAAATGGTTTGTGATCTAGGAATATCATAAATTTTCGTCCTTTTAGCATATGTTTTAAATGTTTGACGGAAACATTGATACTTAAAAGTTCTCAGTCATATGTGCTATAAGCTTTTTGAGTGTCACTTAGCTTTTTAGAATAGAATGCTATTAGTTTACGATCTCCATCTTCATACTGCTGTAGAACAGAATTTGAGACATCTGTACTTAAATCTAATGTTATATCTGGATTAGGAAAAGTTAATAAAGCAGCTGTGGCTAAATCTTCTTTGCATTTTTCAAAGAACTTCTTTGCTTCTTTTGTTCATGGAATTTCCCTTCAATCTTTTTTTGTTGAACCTTTTAAATAGTCATTTAAGGGAACTTGAGTATTAGCTGCGTCTTTCAAGTATCTTCTATGAAAGTTAATCATTCTTAAACATTTACAAAGTTTGTGAATAGTTTTTGGAAGTTTGTAATTTGTTATGGCTTGTACTTTTTTTGGCCATTTGATGTTATCAAATATCCTAAAAATTCTAATTTGTTCACTCACATCACTGATTGTATTAAATACTTCGGTAAGATGTTCTTTATGCTGTTCCTCAGTTTCCAACTAAATCACATTTTATTATTTGTTATTTGCCAAAATATTAGAAAATTTATTATTTTTGTTTAAGGTGCTTATATTTGATTCAATGGCTCCTGATAAAATTTCACCAATAATGCTCAGTTTAGTTACATCAACAATTAATTTTTTTTTCTAATATCAATCAATAAATTAAGCCAGTGAAGAAATCTGCACTCAAAAAAAAAAAAAAAAAAAATACTTTTAATGAATTTAGCTATGATAAATGGCAACTAAAAATCATGGCAAAGTTATAGAAATAAAGATTATATATCATTTGTAGAGGTTACACATGTATGACAATTATGCTTTTCTCTGTATATATATCTTGCCAATGTGCCCCAATATTAGGAATACGCATATGATCTCTAATCTTACATATACGCGGCTTAAGTGTTTGCCGCCGATAGCTTATTGGTTACTTGCGTAACTGTAAACTGTTTCATTCCCCGTGCAGTGCAGCACGTGATGAATATTATGAGAAAGCTAAGCCAGAAAAATTAAAAATACAAGAGCATGTGCATTTAACATTTAATAAATAAATTTAACATCTATAAATAATAGAATTCGAAAATATGCAACCAGAAAAAAAAAAAAACAAATACAATGAAATAAATAAATATCTTTATTATATGCAGCTTAAGTGTCTGTTTGTCGCCAATAGTTTATTGGTTGCATGAGTAACTGTACTAGCCAATGGGGTGAAGTTGCCACAGCACAGGGTTGCTGTTTTAATTGAGACGTAGACAATTTCCTGTCAAACTTACTTTTGCTATGACCATCCAATAAGGTCTCCGGGGCCAAACGCTTATGCGTGTTGTCATTTTTTTTACCTGAGCCTGCGTTTGGACACGGTCAACTTTATATTTTTTGTTCAAGAGTTCGTGAAAGAACTGGACGTAAAATTAGAAATAATGGAATTTCCTCTGCAAGATGAGCTTAAAAATGATGGAGAAGATCTACACAAGAAAATGTTGTGTACCAAGAGATCTTTGACATGTGAATTAAAAATTTTATTATTTAAATCACCTTTATTTATTGAGCTAATGCAGGGGGCTCTTAAGAAATGTACGGCCAGTGATTTCCTTCTTTTCACTCTACTTAAAGCAATCTGAGCAAGTGAAGGGGGAAATCCCTGTGGGACAGTAAGCAAAGGGGCGTCCTCGCCGCCCGCTCCTGGGTAATTCAGTTTGAATTAGCAGATATCTTTGCACAAATCATTTTAATTACAATTTATAATATCTAGAACAGCGGTCATTTCGTATGACCGCCGAGCTTTCTAGTTTTAAATAGAGTTACCATTTTTTAGATAGCACATAAATAAAATTTTCAACAAAGATCATGACACAAGATTACCTTAATTTTCTGGATAATACCTGACTCCAACTTCCAGGTGCTGCGCATAAATCAACAACCTTTTTAACACCTAAACAGAAATATGTAAAATAACTATAAAAATATTAACTTTTCTTAACAATTTCATGGAAAAATCACATTTTATTTTTAATATTTTAAAAATTTATTCTAGATATCATTCACACCATTTACAAGGAATACACTTTTCATCTTTATATTTTTATGCTTCATAAACACATATTATGAATAAAAAATTAAATTGTGATAAAACACCATTAATTCAATATGCTTGATCTCAGTCTGTATGCTAGTTGTGTATTTGATCATTTTTATGATAAATCAGAAGTAAATAAATCGAATGAAGAGTTAAGTTAGAAAAAGCTGGAAGAAAATATATGAAACTCTTATTCTTGTACTCACTTTTTTAGTGCTTTTATAAGACTAGTAAAATATGAGTGACAGTAGGACTTAAATCTGAAGACTTCTTATTATTAACCTCATGAGAAAGCATCAGGTTGTAAAGAAACTGGAGAAGAATTTAAATATACAAATTTTAAATTTAAAATTTAAAAATATATGCTTTAATTATTCTGTACAGAAAATTGTGTGAAAGAATATTTTCAACCATTTTGCTTAAATCTAAAGCACACGAAAGTTCATGTGACATGACAGAAATATCACTGGATGCTCATTGATCCATCCTAGAAGCCACTCCTCGTTGGCTACACAGATGTTCACTTGTGAAATATATGAACGGCAGATATAGAACTGTCTCATACAGTCAAAAGTCTTTAATCCGGACGTCCATAATCCGGAATAATCTATAATCCTGACCTCAAAGCTACAAACTTTCTACACATGCGTAAAAGCATTGCGCATATGCGTTTACGCACGCACATATGCATTTACGCGTGTGCATATGTTTTTGCATGCGCGTTTAATGTATAACGGACGGTATAAGCTAAGCTAAAATTATCTAATTATCTATTTTAGTTAATGTTGCAGATTGCGTTGTTCCTTAATCTTCGAATTGGATCCGGCTTATTATATTTTGCAAACTGTTAGAGCAATTTTATAAAAGTAAGCTTGAACTTTCGATTATGTCAAAAAGAATTTCACATTCTGGAGCTGCCAAAGGATCTACAAAGCAAAAGCATGTTTTGATGTCCATCAAACAAAAAGTGGAATTGCTGCAAAAAAATGGATAAAGGCATATCCTTTGTTTCTCTAACCATTCTGAAATCTGTTTATCAATTTCACGCTGCTCTGCGGGGAGGGGGGGGACGTCGCGGTGCGCTATGAACTGGAAGTTGATCTGTCAGCACTATCCTTATAATTAGAGCAGATGTTTTTATTTTATTCGGCTTATAATTCCTTACTAAATGTAGCATTTCATCTCGATGTACTCCATCTCTGATATAATTTAAATGAAATTCCTTGTCATTATAAATATCACGAATACACATCAAATAGTTTTCTATTTGCAATTTTCTAATTTCGACTATGTGTAATGTATGCTTTATGCATACACGCGTTGAAAGAAATGTTTATTAAAGTAAACAAATAAATATTAAGCTTTTTTTTTTTGTAAATTTTGATACCCTTTAGATCATAATTGCTCTTTGTTTTATAAATTACGGTTTCATATTTTTAATTTTATAATTTCTGCATGTCATCTTGCCAGATTTAAACTGATGATCTATAATCCGGAAAAACCGATAATCTGGAATCGCCCAAGTCCCGACGAGTCCGGATTAAAGACTTTTGACTGTATTATTCATTTTGCTCCCAACTCACACAAGGCGAGGAGAAAAATAAGTTCTGTAAATATGCACCATGATAAATTTGAGTTATTTTGATTACTATGAAACATGTTCACTGCCTTTATTAAATAGACAAAGAATCTTAATCCACAGTAGGAATGTTAAAATGACAAAATAATAATAATAAACAACCTACTAATTTGGCAAAGTACGAACAGGCAGACTCTTTTTCCAGCGAGTTCCCCCTCCTTCTTGTCCCTATGATCTTCCAAATGACATTAGTAAAGAGAAAAAAATACCATACTTATTCACATATTTTCCCTTTTTTCCTACTCATTTTACCATTCGAAAATAGGAAAGGTGAAAATACATCATGTATACTATTTCTGAAGAGATGGCTTATATGATAAGCACACAATAAAAAGTATGTATAAAAGTCACATTACATTATTATAATGTGTATTTCAAAGTATTTATGAATTTCAATAATATTCTTTTTCTTACATCAAATACATCTCTGTTGTGCACTATGTTTTACATAATTACCCTCAATCAAAATCTTCTAAATCATATGCTGAAAACGTTATGGAGAAAATTATACAAGGGGAGTGAAATATGCAAGGAAAAAAGATAGTTCTATTTAGTTTTCATTCCTGCCGCCCAGACGGTATAGTGTTCAGGGAAGCCTGACTGCGATACCAAAAGGCCCGGGTTCGAATCCCAGAGAAGGCATGGATGTAAAACTGTCTGTCCCTTCATAGGAGGTAACTGTGGCTGCCTATTAGGTACCTCCACGATAAAACGGCCACCACTTCTGGCCTTACAAGTGGCCCGTGCCCTCCATTGAAAAAGAAAAAAAAAGTTTTCATTTCTCATACTAATGTTTATATAACCGGTATATCAGAATATTGGTTAGATAATGTGTGTATAATTGGAAACATAAAATCTATTTTTAGACAAACAATTTTTCAACAATAGCCATGTTGAAGTATCAAAAGTTACAAATATTTAAAATGAAACAAAATAAAAATCTGAGTTTACATGCTAGCCTCCTGAAAGATTACTAAGGTTTCCACTTTCTTTTTGTAGGAACACCACTTGCTTTGTCAGCTGAAATATGAATAAATGACTGGATCAAGTTCGCCTCCTTTTATTGCCACTTTCTGCAGGGTTGCAGTGAATTTTTAGAATTGATGTCTAGGTGCATGGTTTATTAAAGGGAAGGTCTCTTACATAACATGATTTTGTTACAATATTTATAGCTTCTATTACTTCAAGGCTGGTTTTGTGCTGGGGTTTATCTTTGATTTTGGCTTTTAGCAAGTTTAGATATTCTATGCAATATTTTACCAACAACGTGCTATTTTCATTGCTGTATTGGTGGATAGTGTTTAAAGATATCTTTCTTACTCTCAGCATTCTCATAGATAATTTTCTTAAATGTTCTATGAATATATTGAGTTATAGTATTTGTAGCTTCATTATATATGGGGATGGTATATATACCTGATATATCTGTTGTGCTAGCATCTGAGCTATTTATTCTTAACAAATTTTCAGCCAGATGGGGCTGAAATCTTGACAAATTTATAACTAAATATTTTTTAAATTACATTGATTCATGGGCTAAGAAGATAGTAATGGAACGTTCCAATGAAATTACATCTGTTTTAGTTGCTGTATTAATGCTGCTGTTTGTTTTGGTTGTTATATCAATAGTAACCTTACTTTTTCCAAATTAATGGCAGAAGAAATTTGCCTATTGATTTTATGACCCACTTGAGGGCGAGCGGTAAAGTCACTGAACACTAGTAGTTTGATGCAAGATTCGAATCCTGCGAATGACCTAGCTGCATGGGCGTTTTCGTGGTTTTCCCAATGTGTAACATGTAAATGAGCCAGTTTCCCTTAAAAAGTCCTTCACGAAGGCATCCCTCAGGCAGATAGACCTCGAGGCTTTGCCATAAATACATAAACCAAATAAAAAGTAGCTGCTCACACAGCAACAAAACAAATTTCACTGGAACATTCCTCTATGATGCTATTACCCTATGCATCACTATAGTTTTAAAAAGATTTGACTATAAACTTGCCATAAGAAAACCGCAAGTATTGGTTAATATGCATTAAAAGGAAAGTATAAAAAACTAATTTTCTAATTTGTGTAAATTGATTAACAATATTTGTTTTACTTTTTCTAGTTATTAATACTTTAGCCAAAGAAAACACAAAATGTACAGTGAATAACCTTTTCTGGACCTAGCAAGCATTCCAATTCAATATCATACCATTTCAAACCTTTAAAATTTACAACATGCATAGTATATAGCATTTAGTACATAACATGTAGTCGTACTTAGGTGTGAAACTTCTGATACTTACTTTACTTAATATTCTAATAACAATTTAGGTTTTAATAAGAAATTAACAGTTCTGAGTTCTACACAACTCTTTTTGATGTAATTTACTTTCAAAGTTTATTTTTCTTTATTAAAAATATATATTTATATTCCAAAATGGTTACATTTAAAAACCATAAACGAAAAAACTGCTTGAATTCGATACTTAATAATTTTGAATTCATTATTAAAAAATTTAAGCATTGATTTTATAAACTTATTAACATATATATTGTGTTTTCAGATTTTTTTAAAATGAACTTAATAAAGTAAACATGACTAAATGTAAGAAATTAAAGAAGCAAGTATCTTAATAAAATACATTTAAAAAACTTATTAATAACCATTATAAAATTTTACGCTCCAAAAAATTTATATTATTGCTTAGTCTATACCATGGCTTCCCAAAGTTTTTTTTCTTTGGTTCACTCTTCCCTACTACCAAAAATTAAACTTCCCACATTCTCTAATAATAATAATAATAATGTTAGTAGGTAAGGTATAATGCAGTAAGAACAAAAAACAGAATTTATAAAGGTTTTATTATAGAAATATGATGTTTCTAGATACAAATGGTTTAAAAAAAAAAAAAAAAAAAAAGATAAATGAATGAGACGGATGTACTTGCATATTTTTCACAGGATATTCAATTTTTGGTTGAATAGAAGAAAGAGCACAATGTAAATTACTAACAATATTGAGATTGCTTCTATGCTTTGTTTTTATTGTTACAACTGCTAAAAACTCTTTTGCACAAATAAGTGCTTGAAAATGGTAAGTATAGTGCTTCGCTGGGATAAACTTTGAGATATTTTATCCACCTTCTAAAAATCATATTTGGCTGTGGAATCATTTTTAATTTGCAAAGCTTGCTCTTGTGGTGTTTCTGATAGCACATCTATGTCAAT